ACTGATTAATTCACTGTATAGAAGTCTTAAGACTAACATTTGATCTAGATGAACTACAGTATGGGTGCTTCCACATCAGGTCCATCAACACCAATAGGTTCTTTTCCCCTATTTATGGTTCATTGTCCTTGGTCACATCTGGCGCTCAACCCTAAATATCACAGGTTTTCAATGCAACACAATTACTGTACTTGACACTTTCTGTCTTAGGTGTGGAATAATACTCTTAATAGGCCAAGGGTAAGTAAGATTACCATATTTCGTATAATTTGATTACAATTTTCAGACATACTGTATCTCGATATACTGTATTTGCATAAAGGATGAATGTTTGATCTCAGAGCCACCTAGAGTCATTCTTGTAGATGTGTGCAGAACTGGCTACCATCCCATGTGAGCCAGAGAGTGTCATTTGCTCATATAGAGGAATACCATTAAGTGAAAATGTAAAGCAAACATGAAGGATGTTAATTTAAGTTTCAGCTGCTTCAAATATCAGCAATTTGTCTTTGCTGGTACATATGTACATTATTTCAGTAAAACAATCTACTGTACTCGTGCAGTAATGGACAGGGCAATTGGTTTTGTCTGAAAGTCTCTTGGTAAATCTTAACTTTGTGTTGTCCACCCTTTTATGGCGTAGACTTACATTTTAATGAACTTCAGTACAGTACTGTATTTCCTCTCTACCTCTACCCTTTTGTTTCTCCCCATTCCTCTATGTTTAATTCTCCCAGTGCCTCATTCTATGATATGAATGAATTTGCTCACTTCTATATGCCATTCTATTTTTATACAATGGTGTCATTTGATGTGTACATATAAGTTGGATTTTATTTAGTAGTACCTCCTACACTTGTGGTTGCTTTACCAGTTTTTTTATGTGTATTTTGTATTATGTCTGCCATGCTCAGGGATTGAAGATGAATCTGGCTAAGGTGACAAGCATAACAAGCTTAGCATATGACATGTTCAGTCCTTATGGTTGGCCACCCATCTTGGCATTAACAAAACCTGAAAATACTTTCAATTTACTACCTTATCAATTTTTATGTATTTTGTTTTATGTATGCCATGCTCAGGGATTGAAGATCAGTCTGGTTGAAGAATCCAGCTAAGGTAATGAACATAACCAATGCAGCATGACTTGTTCAGTCTTTACAGTAGGCCATCCATCTTGGTATTAACAAGAATTTAAATTATTCAAAGTTTCACCAGAAGGAAAAGCAAAAATATTACCCACTATATATACACTGAGATTTTTATTTGTTTGTGAAATATATGCATGAAATAAGTAGAAAATACCTGTAGTATTTTTTATATTTGTCACTGAAAAATACAGAAGACTATTGAATGTCATTCCTATTAGCTTACTGATTGGCATAATACAGTCATGTAGTACAGTATAGCATGTGATTTTTCAAAGTATCTGGAAATAAGATGAAAAGTGTCAGCAGTTATAGGCAGCACTCGGAAATTATTTTGTCATCTTACTTTTTTCTAGCAATGGCTCCTTAGTGTGCAGGACTTGTGAGATGTTGAGCCTATAGAAAACTGGTGATCTTATGTAGTGTGACTGTAAGTATTGGACTGCAAGTAACATATAGTCTTAATAATATAAGTTAGAAGACTCAAGGTGCTCAAGTTGATGTTTATTAGAAACTTTGTGTGAGCTGAGTTGCTAAGTTAACAATGGTGGTGTTCAATGTATCCAGTATTTTGATAAAGTCTTACCCATCTTGAATGATTAACTTGATATCAACAAGTTTCAAGTTTAAGAAACCTTTATCAGCTGTCTTAAGATAGGAAATAGGTTCCATCCTAAGATTATCTAGAACTTTCCTAATAGAAATAGGAGACATCAGATTTAACATATACAGTAATAATAATTATGTATGGTTAAGCTATTCAGAAAGCAAGATGACATACAAATAGTAAAATGTGATGGATATTCAGCATATTAGAGTAAGGTTAAGGGCTCAGTGTTCCAAGTGCTTATCAACTAATATTGTCTGTACAGTATTGGTACCCTGTACACTGAACCTTTAGTATTCATACACCGGATAAATATTGTACTACAGCAAGAATGGTAATGAAAGTACTGTACTGTATGTAGTTGACTTTCTCCCTGTTCATCAGAGGGATGAGGTATTATGGATGTCATGATGTATGTTTAAGTTGGATGATGTTGATAAATTATTTTGTAGTACAGAGGTATCCCAAGTGAAAATTAGTACAGATATTCAGAATTATATGAGCTGATTAATGAATGTTTTGAGGTACAAACTTTTACATTTTATCAATGACCACATATTCATTGGCTAGGATTTTTTTTATGCTCCTGTATTGTACTGTATTTAGAAATATTGGAAACATTGCACAGTTAATTTTAAGTATTATCAGACAGTTATGTTTTATATTGAATGGGATAGTGCAGTAGTCATCATCTTTTTACTTTGTAGTTCCAAATTATTAGGGTTAAAAGCTGAAGCCATAACAGTTATCAAGACAATTGTGAACATTTACTGTATTTAATTTGTGACGATCTGATCCTCTTTGATATTTCCACAAGAAAGATGACACTCATATTATATCAACAACAAGAAAATGCAAATCAAATTGTAAAGACTATTTTCATGTGTCATGGTAAGGGAATTCAGCTCTTGATGGAAAGTTCATTACTTATTTATTTAGTACCATTCATACCACACATTCATACTTCCAATGCCTTAGTTATTGAAGTACTGTACATGTCTACTGTTTTACCACCCAACTTCTTTTAAGGAAGAAAATAGAAAGATTTTGCAGGCAAAAATTGGCATTTGACTAATACTTTTCAATGCCTTTTATTCAACTAAAGGCTCAACGATGTGCCTTAGGTGGTGCTAAATATCCTATACACTTATCCAGTACTGTATATGTTAAAAATTGAGAGCGACAGACTGTGTGAAATACACTGTAACAGGAAGATCAGATATGATCAAGTGATGAGTGATGAAGCATATTAACCATATACGTACTGTACTGTAATACCATTTGCTTTAAATATTTATTTATATACTGTAATGAGCTTAATATACTGTATTCAATAAGAAAATTCCCTTTCCATATGCACTCTGAGGATACCTCAGGTTTATGATAAGAAGCATGATACTGTGGTTACATCAGTATTTGTTGTTATCAATATTAAATACTTACAGTGTGATTCAAATGAAAGAATATTAAAAAATTATTTTAGCATACTATGTGTTTCAGCTTAAAGACTATTAATTTACGCTTCTGTTTCCAAATGTTACCATAATTAATAATACAGTACATTATACAAGTTGGTGATGAAAGCTATTGCCTTAGTTAATGATTAAATTATTCATCATGTCAAGCTTTAACCATGTTAGTCAGCAATATCTAACATTACTAAGCAATACCATTGCCAGTGGTGTACATAATCTTTACAAATTTTAATTAAATTTGTTTTCAGTAAACTGTTCAATTCTAGAGATGAATAAATTGTTCCAACCCTATGCATGAATGTATGGTAGGTCAAATGTGAACTTTCATACACCTTTTTTTTTATATTTTGAGCATTTTATATGTGATGTGTTCAAAGCATTGATTACAAAACACAGGTCCCTGGAAATGTTCCTCTGGTGATTTAGGAAAGTTTCAGTTTATGAGCTTGAATGGCATTGAATTGTAAGAAGGAAATTTATTGTAGATTTTTTTAGATAAATATTATTTGAGTCATATATAATACTGTTTTAATATATCCCCTCTGTGTTAATTGTGTACAACTTAATCATTAAGGTGGTAGACACGGTATGAGATTTAGGATACATTACCCTGTATTTAGGTGGGGGATTGGTGTACTCACTAAAAAAAATAACAAATATGCTAGTATTTCTTCATGGTAAATTTGATATAATCTATGATAAGCACAAATGAAATAATACTGGATTATACTGTACCGTAAAGTGAAAAAGGTTAGGTACAGGAATTATTCATATAAAACTATGTAATGTACAGGTACCACAATGATATATTCCTACTAAGAAGACTACGTTTGAAAAATATTGTATATATCCCATTGCTACAACCACCATTAATATTCTCTACTGCCCAAATTTGAAAATAAATGTGGCAATATCAAACCGTACATGTGTGCTTATGGATTAAACTGGTGATAATTGAATTTAAGCTGACCATCTGACCAGTTACATGGTCACTTGCATGGGAAGTCAGTCATGAGTTATGGTACATTGACAACGATATGGGTAGCATAAATATAGGGCATCCACTGGGGTTGTGGGAGGGGAGAATCCCCCCCCCCCTGGAAAAGGAAATATACAGTATATTTCTTTATTGATCGGCTAACGAGCTGATCAGTGGTGAAGAGGATAAAATGTATACTGTACCTGTACAGAATATGAAATTACAAGTTTATTATACAAATATTATGCAAATCATAATCTCACATTACACATTAAATTTAATTTTTAATACAATTAAAAGTTACCAAGTTTATCAGCAGGCCTTAATTTTACTGTACTCTATAGATCTGAACCTTTTGGCTATATACATAAACAATTTACAGTCACAAGTATAGGTGTTTAAGGTCACATGCTAAAACGAACATCAACTGTTATTGTTTGTATACAATTACATATACTGTGTAGACATACTCGATCAATGTAAATATGTATTACTCATTTACTGAAGAAACAACTATCCATCTTTATTTTCAATATAATACAATACTGCAGTTACCCTTAGGATGTACGTTTTCTGTAAATATGTTTGTTTACATATTTGTGGTTGAGAAAGTCAATACAAGGCCTTTAGTACTTAACCCAAAAATCTTAAATGATTTTCATCATATTACAAATATAAAATTAAGTATTTATATTAATATATAGCTTTATATTTAACTGGTAAACGATACTTATAACCTTTTTAACAGAGATTGCCTGCGAGTACATTAGTAGATTTTAGTTGACTGCTCGCGCAACTTTTGAGAGTTGAGGTAAGCAATTGATTAAGTTGGTATTGCTCACCGCATTGGCCTTAAACAAAAGGTAAGTTTACCACAATTTATTTTCATTCTGATGTAATAAGTAGTGAAGATAACTTCAATTTCACATTGAAAACCTAAGTTATATACAGAGTTATGACTGTATTGGTCTCAAATACAGTATAGTACATTTCCAGTTTTCCTAAGGTGTGATTTGTGTTGTGCTCAGTGCTCTTAGCCTATAATAATATTCCTTCATACTGAGGCCTCAAACTATGTTTGCATTGTATTGCAGAAATTTAGAAGTTTATGAACCAATTTTGGTAATCTGTATCTTGAGCAATGCTATTCCAAACCTAAGTATCTCTTGATAAATATTTCACAAAGCATTGTTGGTCACTTGTGAATAATAAACTAATTTGCAGAAATCTCAGTAATATGTTAATATTTGATGATGTACACCTGAACCACTAACTTGAAGATATTTCACCAGAGCTGAAAAAACTTTTCTCTGTCAAACTTACTTCTTGAATAGAAAGGTATTGGTGTAGGAATTGCAAATTTCCTACTTTTGGTTTTCCATTGTTTTCAACCTCAACACACTTGTCTGTTATGTGGGGAGCTATCATTACCAAGAGAGTCAAGAGCACATTTCATAGACTTTAATGTTTCCACTAAAACATGAAAAACCAATAGTGTCATGAAGCAAAAGTTTGAGGAGATAGGCAGTAACATACATCAGCCAATCATAGGCATCCCATGCAGTCACATGATAGTAGTGGCCAATTGTAGCTCACGAGCAATCTGAGACTACCCACCCATGCATCCCGATATCGGAAACATGACGTAATCTCTTGGAAATTTGTTCCCATGCCCAGAATACAGAGTTTTCCAGGAATTTCTCTGAATACCTATTTTTTTTTTTCTGGCTCTTGTAGAGTTCTGGGGATTTAAGATTTCAGCTAACTGTATTTGCATAGTAATTTCTGTGTATGGCTACTTCAAAATATATACTGCACCTTATATTATTTAAAATAATTAATGATATACCAAAACAATTACAAGGATTTATGGCAATTTTTGGATACTTTGCCTTAGCGGCGTTTTATACCTAAACCTTTGTGGCTACAATATTTCAGTAACACAGGTACTGTACTTGATGAGTGTCCAGCCTTTCGTGGCTACCTGACAAAATTTCTCCATAGAAGATATAAGCTTCTTTACCTCGAGAAACATTTAAAATTGTAAAAGAAATGTATTTTTGAGATTTCTGTTTTGATATTCGAAATGAGTACCATTTTACTCCTACCTATTTTCATTAAAATTTTATTTGTGATCCAGTCAGTTTTAACCAGGTTTCTCTTTTGTTCTACTGTATATGTTTTCCATTACCAATATCATTTCCTTGAATTCATTTTATTGTTGTTCTCTTTCTTGCTCTTCAAGTCCTTCCTCAAACAATACAGTATTGTAAATACAGTATGTTTTGAGTTCCAATTTCATATTCTATTGCTGCCTCAGTTTTTGGTCTCTGATGGCAATTTTTTTTAATTATGTACATCAAGACAAGTTGCTGAACTTGACTCTCTTTGAAATGCCCACTTCACACCTCACCTGAAGAATATGGTACTGTATATGGAACCTTGGCTACTTTAGGCTGCAATCAACCATAACTGCAAGTTTCTGGCCAGATGTGTGACTCTTAAATTTAAGTGCAATCTGATTGTAGTTTTGGGTTAGAAGCTGTTGATACAATCTCATCATCATTTATACCCTGTTAAGATTTCTATGAGTTTTTTGGGCCTTATGGTTCATTTTGCAAGTGAATGTCAGTTGATTTGTCTGTGTTCCATTTCACACTTGTTAGCAAGAAGAAATACTTGGTTCATCAAGAGGAAGACACTGATGACCAGGTCAAATATTTGTACTGTACCAAATTAGTTTATGAGTGCTAAGAATGTGATTGATGAGGTACTGTACTTGATAGTGGTGCTTGCCATACACATACCAAATAATGGCTTGTTTTGAGTAGTCAAAACCTACCTGTATATGCAAGCTTAAGCTAAGTTGGTTAAGTTAGGTAAGATTGATCATTTAAATTTTTTGGATCCCACAGACTTGTGATGGAGCAGGACCATTCGTGGCCAAGAGGCCGACATGGATGGAATAGTGATAGTATGGCGCTGGGTCTGAGGGAAGGGGATCCTCAGTCTCCCAGAAGGATGCACCACTCAGGCTCACCCTCACACAAGTTCAGACAAAATAGACCAGTTTGGGATGTAAGTTTCAAAATCTAAATTTTTATTTTTCTGGCACTAATGTTTCTGTGGGTGACTGAGGTGAGCTAATTTGCTACCTACAAATACATTAATTCCCATACCTTTTGCAAAGTTTTCAGTATGTCATGAAATGCATAAATTGTGAAAAATATTAAGACAATGTTTATGTTAGAAAAAAGGTAATGTCACAGGATTACCCAAAAACAATAATAGGAAACATAGACTACATTAAAAATAGATAGATACAACATGCAATCATTAATTGAGAAGAAAACATCATCATCACAGTTTTAGAACATTTTTGGGGAGGGTTAGCTGTGATTACCTAATGGCAGTATCCTGGTTACCATCATGGAGATTTGAAGCTATTTGTATTAGTAACCCACTTCACAGAGTGAGAACTGGACATTATTGGGAGAACTTTCAAATGCCCTCTTAGGTGGCAAGGCAAGGCCACAACTCCCTCCAATTACCTGCCTGCCTGCAAATGAAGAGAAAGCCATTCAGAAAATATTTTGAACTCTTACCAAGGCTTTGTAGATTTCTTTAAGCAAGCTGATCCCGATTGTTGTTTCACTAGATTTGAACTCGCTAGAATTTTAAGTTATAGGTTAGGGGAATTGCTGTTGTCTCCCCCAGCAGCAGACATTACAATGGTGCAAGATGAAAGTCACGTAGTACAGTATTTAAAGACAATTACCCTAAAGAGGCTACTCAGGATAGGGTAAAGTTTGAGTTGGAATGTGCCATGCTGCTGATACTTGATTCTATTTTGTCATTTCTTATAGCTTTACTGAACTTCTTTATACTGTACATAAACTTTACTTGATAACGTATAAGGTTCTCATAGATGTATTGTCAACAGGTCTAGAAATTACAACTCTGGCACCAGGGCTCCAACATGTGGCTGGAATCTAAAAACAAACTAGATTTCATGATTAGATTGTCTGTCACCTTCATACAGTACTTGTGTCCGGATGGATATTCATAATAAGTTTTGCTGTGAGCATAACACATGCTTCAATCGGTTTATTTGTTGACATTGGTTACAAAGTGCTCAGTCGTAACCAACCACTTCAGACACCAGTCATTCGCTTCAAAGCAGACCAAAGATATACTGCTTCGTTTTTTACTGGTGGACAGCTAAGTATTTTCTTTGTAGTATTAGACATGTGGGGTGTTTTGTCGCCACACAATCATAGGTGCTTATGTTGGTTTTTAGGTAGTGTTTCAAGATTGTTGCAGGTATACTTCATGTGAAAGATATATTTTCATATGGCAAATTTGTGAAAGATATAATAATAATAATAATAATAATAATTGACGGTTTATTGAAAAAGTTCTGCAGCCCGAAGGCTGAAAATATACATTGGACATAAATGACTTATTACATACATTGGTGGTTTAACAAAAGCCTTCATTAGAGAAAGGTGAAGGAACATACAGTGAACATATAGATTATTGTAGGTGTTGAACAGCAAAAACGTGGTGTAGTAACTCCCTCCCAGATGGTGTTAGGAGGGACCTCACGTGGTGTAGTAGTTCCCTCACAGATGGTGTTATGAGGGGCCTCACGTGGTGTAGTAATTCCCTCACAGATGGTTTTATGAGGGGCCTCACGTGGTGTAGTAATTCCCTCACAGATGATGTTATGGGGCCTCACGTGGTGTAGTAATTCCCTCACAGATGGTGTTAAGTAATTCCCTCACAGATGGTGTTATGAGGGGTGGTGTAGTAATTCCCTCACAGATGGTGTTATGAGGGGCCTCACGTGGTGTAGTAATTCCCTCACAGATGGTGTTATGAGGGGCCTCACGTGGTGTAGTAATTCCCTCACAGATGGTGTTATGAGGGGCCTCACGTGGTGTAGTAATTCCCTCACAGATGGTGTTATGAGGGGCCTCACGTGGTGTAGTAACTCCTTCACATATGGTGTTATGAGGGGCCTCACGTGGTGTAGTAATTCCCTCACAGATGGTGTTATATGAGTGAGGTGTGGTTCCAGGCCTTCCTATCGTAGACGGATTAACACACCGCTGGTTGTTGGGTCTCACGGGCCGTTATCACTGGGTACCTGGGACCTCACTGTGTGAAGGTTAACTTGGGTACTACTGTTACTGTTGAGTTCTCACTGACTTAAGCACTGTTCACCACTGTTCACCTCTGTTTAACACTGGTTCCATTCCTTTCCTAAATGAAATAGTAACTTCTGGCGAGAACATGTTGATATTCCGGTGGGGAGGAGGGTTCAGGGGAGGGAGTTGGTATGGGCCAACATAACAGTTGACCTGGCTGCTCCAAGAGGAGCGCCAGGTACGTCTTGACCCTTCGGTGGGAATTATTGTACGTACGGGGTATGTTTTTCTGTGTTGATAAATACAGCAAGCCTTCAGGAGATGAAGAATCAACTACAGTACTTTAAATCAATAAATTGGGAGGATGTTTAAACTTAGACAGATTGAAGTCTACATTCAGCCAAGACCGTTTACCACAAAACTATAAAAGGTGATGTTGATAAGAAAAAAGTATCTGCAACATAGTATTCAGATGGAACTCACAAAATGAACTCATTTATTTTCATCAAAGCTGTTTCTTTTACAGTGTTTACATATGTAGTCTTACACACATAAGCACTAAAGGATTAAAGTGTATTTAATGGTTTGATGTTATGAACATGGTGTGTAAATGCACAGAAACACATGATGGCATCAGTAGTGAGTGTGCTATTATCTGTTTATTCCATCATATTCCCCGTACTCTATACATGTATGGTAAAAAGTTAGACGTCTAAGGTCTCTGGATGATGGGAAAACCTTTGTGTTGTACTTTGTGATGGTGTTAAAGTTAAGTTCTTGGCGCAGAAATGCCAGGTCAGGTTCAGAGGATTTTGGGTCATTTGTGATACAGTGATGGTATTCTCACTTGCCACTAAGAGGTGTGGATTTTAATTCTACGAGGGACATCCGTGATATTTCACAAGATTGTGTTCATTTGACATACAGGAGTATTACTTTCAGGACACTGTACATGACTTGGCTTCCATGAGACTGACTCCAGCTGAATTAGCACGGAAACTTGCAGCTCGTCAGTCTTCTAATAAGGTCATTGCAAGAGCACAGCTGCTGGAACAAAGCCGAAGACCAGGATCTTATAGTCCAAACCTGCCTCCTTCCTTGGCTGCCAGGCTTCAAGCTGCTAGGCAACAGGTAGGCATATGAACACAGTTTAGACAATATTTAGTTGTACGTACAGAAAAATAGATGGAGTCTTGTGTTATAAAGTTGACATTAATACTGCATTGATCAATTCATTTTGAATATGGATCGTTAGAACTTTTGAAGAAGCAGGAAATCCAGGTACCATTACAATTGTCAACACTGAACATATCACCAGAACCTCACCTGCAGGAGATCAAACACAGTTGAACAATGGAGATGGGTCTTGATTATTTCCAAAAACTTGCTGAACCTATGCCAAATTAACTACAACTCGTGTTTCAATCAGACATTTTAATTACAGCAGGTTCTGTAATCAGATGGGAGTATAATCTATGAATCAAGCAAACCCAACATAACTAAAATGCTGTATATTATAAGATCATTTAGAATAGGTTAAATATGGGTAGATTGATTAGTTTTATCTGTCATAATAAATGGTTTATGCTGGACTTAATACAAAACTGTGGGGACTTATGGTATGCCTTTTCCATCTTATATTTATTTACTGTAGTTTCACTCTTTCTGTAATGTGATGGCAAGGTTAAAGATTCTCAAAGCAGTAAAAATTAATGAGTATGATTTTTGTAGGTCAGTTCTATTTTGTATCTGTAAACCACTAAACTAAACTGTATTTTGCCACACAAATTAGAAATGCTTCATGGTTTCAAGAGAGTATCAAAGGGAGAATGGCCTAGTTCAGAAAATGGGAAAATTTATAAATCCTGGAGTCTTATGGTCCCAACAGCACTGGAGTTTCAAAGTTTTACACTATACATCTGATGATTCATAACTTACTGTGGGAGTCATGTTTTTATGGTATTCAATCTATTTTTGTCTGTTTTAGAAGGTGGATTCATTACTGGCTCAATCCAATACAACCTTGCTGGCTTCACAGAAAATTCGATACTCTGAGACGCGGGCTATGCAAGATTTAAAAATGATACATCAACAGCGGAAACCTGGTAAGAAACACAAACACTCCTGTGCCTTCCCTATCCTTCTTTTTCTATATTTATTTCTTTAATTTTATGATTCTTTTTTTCTCATCTTAAATTTTTCTTCTTTCCTTTTCTCCTGTTTGAAGTCTTTAATTCAGTAGACCCTTGATTTAAGTGGGGCAGAGAATTGCCATACCATGCAAAAGCAAATTGCATTATTTTGTTCTGTGTATTTCAATAAGAAAGAGGGTATCTGCTGCTCCAAAAATTACACCAAAATATGTCCCAGAACATTCCACCACAACTTTTTTATACTTAATTGCCTCTAATGATGAACGAATGATGAAATGTGAACACAGAAAATTAAAACTGTAAACAAGTATACATAATTGGCTGAGACTGAAGGGCTGATGCATGGAATCCAAGATGGTTGACCTGGTTGGCGAGCAAGCTGTACATGTACCCGGTACTAATATGGTGTCATGAACTCATTGCCTTCTACTTTATGTGGTGGTTGTCACTTCTAAAGATCCTTTTTTGGAACTTGGTCATGACAGGAGAATAATATTGAAGGATAGGCATATGTACAGTAATTACAATATTTATTCCTTACCCTTTGAAGCACGTTTCCCCTGATCCTCCTGTTAGTGCTCTCCTCACAGTTTCTCTGTTGCTATATACTTTTCAACTTTTTAAAAAATTTTTGTATGTTCTTCATTTATGGACTACTTGCAGATGGAGAAGAGGACACAAGGTTAAGTGAAGGTGATGTCAGACCAGGTGATGTGCCCAGGAAAATCTCTCAACAACAGGATGGTGGTGGTGACACTTCCACTACCGGTAATCATGATCAAATGAGAGCTTCAGGAGTTGAAACTAAAGTTGAGAAAACCAAATCACTAAATCAAAACAGCAAAGCAGAAACTTCTGTTGTCACTTTAAAGGAATCAAGACAAAGAGAGCTAGCAGAGGACACAGCAAAGCAGAGGGCCATGTCCTCATCATCAAGATTGACTAAAGATACAAGGAAACCAGTTGAGAGCAGCCATGGGGCAGCAACAAGGACCAGCTTAGATCATACAATAACGGTTAGTATGTGTAACTGGTAGATTTATGTTGATGAAATGTAATTGATTTATTTTTCATATTTTTCTATCAGTCTGTTATCTCTTCTCAAAAAATGTAGAGACAAAATGCAGTGTGGATATTCCTCCAATTATGTACAGTGAATCCTGGACCTTTCTTGAATTTGCTACTTGTAAATATACTTTACACAAGCTGTATGAATGTGATCTTTTTCTGTCTTTTACTATATGTATAACCTTGTACCTTTCACAATCAGTCACCAAGGTAGTGATAAGAATTATATTAAAAACTTATAAGATGTTACTTGTCTAAAACTTTAATGTGTAGATTTTCATTAATTTGCTTAAACACAATCTATTGAATTGTGGTAGGTACATATTGTATACTGTATATACATCTATATTTTACTGTACTGCACAGGTAGTATTAAATAAGTTTTACCAGTTGTCACTAGCAGTTATGGAAAATAATGTACACTGCAACTGTATTCCCAGATGGTGGTGAACACATGCAGAGAACTTTGGCTGCAACTAGAGGAGGAAAGACTTACTAGGGAACGACTTCAACAGCAGCTCCAACAACAAGGGAATGTTATAACTACATTGACTGCAGTAAGAAACTTGTTTTTAATTTTCAGTTTGTTTTATAAGTGAGCATTGATGTTCAAAGTATAGCAGTGAGTGTTACGAGTTTGAAGTTAGTTGTAGAATAGTAATTACTGAAAGATAAATAAGAGATATTCCGTGCAATAGTGACGAAAACATCAAATTTATGTTTTGAGAAAATGTCACTTTTAAAAACATGAATACCTGGTAGCCTTAAAAAAAATTTAATAGAGAACTGTACTTATCAATTTTGTGAAATTGGTTTCATTTTGAAAGTATTTTGTTGTAGAATATAGTAATGATTAAAAGGAGAATGTTTAGTATCAAAATTGCAGATAGTAATATTAACAAAAGTATCCATTTGGATGCACAAAACAGTAATGTTTTCATACCTTTCCACAGTTCCACATATTTTTGTCTCATATAAGTGTAGGCTGCACATCACTATCAGAAGTACTTATCATGAATGCAAGAAATGCAAATGAATGACAAAAAAGTGCAGAGCCTCACAGCATAATGTATGTAAACAGAGATAGAGTAGGAATATGATTGAATTTGGCCATGACTATGCTTTCAAACTCTAAAACAGTGGAAAATAATATTATCGGGTGATAAACATGCTAAATGTGGACTGTGTATCATGACAGAACATGGATAGACCTTTCATGTACCATAGAAAGTAGATTTTTGGGACCATGGCTGATTTGTCACTTGCACTGTTGTCTATGTGATATCCATCAAATCCTGTGGAAGTCTTCTCTCTCTCTTCTCTTCTCTCCCCTCGTCTCTTCTAATTTAGCTTAAATTCTGCAGGAGTTGTTGCAGATTCAAGATCAGCAAGAAGCAATCCTGCGGGAGGTAAGCGATGCTCGTGCCTCAGGCCTCTGGGGAGTTGAGGGAGATTTAAGTGGTGGCAGCAGTGGCAGTACTGATGGTGGGGATGACTTAATCAGTACCCAGACATCTAGTGGTAGGATTACTGGAGGAAGACCCAGCCCTCAGCCACTATCCACCCGCCACCCTCAGAGGTCCATCCTTAGGGCCACTCGTACCATTCCCCCACCACATATGCGACAGCCACCTCCATACCAGATGCATCATCAGACAGCAAGAACTCATCAACAAGATTCGCATTTACCACCGTCTCATCAATCCCCACATTCACCACGCCCTCATCAACCCCCACATTCACCACGCCCTCATCAACCCCCACATTCACCACGCCCTCATCAACCCCCACCGCCCTCATCTTCCACCACGCCTCATCAAACACTCACATTCACCGCCCCCCTCATCATCAACCCCCACATTCACCACACCCTCATCAACCCCCACATTCACCACGCCCTCATCAACCCCCACATTCACCACGCCCTCATCAACCTGCATTACATCCGCATTCACAGTCTCACACACCATCTTTATGTCCACCAGAAATATCTTCATCACAAGGTAACCTCATAGCTGGAAGAACAGAAACACGTGTTCTCAGCAGTTACAGAAGCTCTGTATCTCGGCAGATCAGGGATGCACTGGTAAGTGAACAGTGTACATCTAATGTGCCTGATGGAAAAACTCTTTCCACTCACTCAGACTTTTCCAAGTTGTCACATGAGGGCTCAGCAGAAGTGAAGTCCTCTGACAAGAATGTGAGAGGCATGGGAGAGAAGCAGGCTGTTGCAGCAGCTAACAAAGAAAATAGTCTCATTTCAGTGAGGGAAGAGAGTGTCATGGACTCATCAATTGCAGAACTGCTTGAAAAGAAGAAATAAAAAAGATCACATCACATTTGTTACTACCCTGCATCAGGAAAATTTGGATGATCGTCAGTGTTGGTGAACTAATGTACGTATTAAAAATTTTATTAAACAAGTCTTTCTTTAAGAAAGTATTAATATCTCCAAATTTATGGAGTCATTTTTATTATATCATATTTTGCATATCATGATCCTAAGTATGAATAGTTATACTGTATCTTAATAATCTTTTGGGACCAGGACTTCATAACTAGGATAAGACCTAGCTGTCTTGATATTATTAGTAAATGTGATATATACAGTTTTACCCCGCTTAACGCGCTTTCACTTAACGCGTTTTCGCATATACGCGGTGCCTTGCCAAAGCTGAACTTTCACTTAACGCGGGTTTTTCCACAGCTACGCGGTGAGTGTCCGGCTCGGATGCTATTTTTAGATTTTGGCCATGCGCCACCCACCCGCCCGCCTGCCTGCCTGCCTCTCCCTCCTCCTCCCTCCGCTTGGGTAAGCGGCGCGGTAAGGTTGCGCAGTGTGTGTCTTTGTTGCGTTATCACTGACGTCATATGACGTCTCGGACTGTGATTGGCCATGCAGCCCTACCCCCCTCTGCTGCTAGCTGTAATTGGCTTAAAGTATTATGACGTGACTACCCCGGGGAGGGAGGGAGGGAGGAGAGACGACGCTTGACCTAGCCGCGGCAGTTTCATCCCTCAAGGCCACGCCGGGTTAACGCGCATCCATTGTTCCGTAAAATGGCTTCCGCCGGACCACCACCCCCAGAGAGAAACCTTTCCTTACCTGGACCCAGCGGCACTAAACCAAAGAAGACACGACGTTCATTAAGCTACGAGCTGAAGTACCAAATTGTTCAAGATTTGGAGAAAGGAAGACGCCAAGTTGATCTCGCGCGCCAGCATGGCGTCAACGAATCTACGATTCGTACAATAAAGAAGGATGCAGCCAAGATAAAGGAGCACATGAAGATCACAAAGTCTGCAGGTGCTTCATCTATCAGGTATTGCCAGAACAGGGTGCTGGCAAAAGTGGAAACTTTGCTGGTGAGTTATTTGGTGCGTCAGGCGCGACGCAACATGGCGGTGGACACGCGCTCAGTGCAGGAGTACGCACGTGAGCTATACGCAGCAGTGACACGTAAACTGGGAATTGCAGAGCCCAAACCCTTCAATGCTTCCCATGGTTGGCTGCATAGGTTTAAGAGGAGGAACAAGGTCACCAACATCAGCATTGTTGGTGAGGAAGCGAGTGCTGACCGTGCGGCGGCTAGAGAGTTTCCTCCGTTTTTACGTGAGATTATGGAGGAAGGACAGTACAGTGACGACCAGGTGTTTAACATGGACGAATCTGGTCTTTTCTGGAAAAAGTTACCTTCCAAGACCTTCGTTGTCCAGTCTGCGAGCAAGGTAAGGGGCCGGAAGATGCAGAAGGAACGCATCACCGTCCTGTTTACCACCAATGCCTCCGGTACCTGTAAACCAAAGTTATCGGTGATTCACAAAGCCCGCAAGCCGCACGCCTACAAGAATATGGACATGAACAAGCTTAATGTCCACTGGCTAACCGCACGTAAGGCGTGGATGTCCTCTTCTCTGTCCCTCTTCTGGTTTGACAACTGTTTTGTTCCTGACGTGCAGAAATTCTGCGAGCAACAGAATGTTCCTTTCAATATTTTGTTGCTCCTTGACAACGCACCTGGACACTCGCCCCTACTTATGGATCGTCACCCCAACGTAAAAGTGGTCTTCCTTCCTCCCAACACTACGTCATTAATCCAGCCCATGGACCAGGAGTTAATCTGCAATGTTAAAGCTGCATACTCGGCAAAGAAATTCAAGCTCCTGAACGACTCTACCAACACCAAGGATGAGTTGCGTAAGCTGGGTGACACCGACAGCGAGAGCAAAAGCGACGAGGACAAGGAACAAGAGGCGGCGACTCAAGAACTTCTCGTCAAACAATTTTGGAAGAAGTTTAACGTCAAACAAGCTGTAGACTTCTTGGTGGAGGCATGGGATCTGCTGACTATTGCTACGATTCGTCACGCATGGAGACATGTGTTGCATGGCATACCAGGTGAGAGGAGGAGTGAACCTGTGACTGGTCAGGTTCAGACTGTTGCAGTAGCAGTGGACCTTGCCAGAGAAGCTGCGCTCAGTATTACAGCTGAAGGCTTCTCCGAGACCACCAACGAAGACATCATGGAGGTGATCAGAGATCCTGAAGTGACTGCCGACGAGATGTTGGAAGAAGAACCCGCCAGTGAAGAGGAGGAAGAAGGTGCGTCATTCTCCGAAGAACCTAGTTTAAGTCATAGTGATATTAAGTGTGTCATAGAGTTAACAGAAAAAATTAAGTCCATCGTTTCCCGCGACACTGACGATGAACGCCATGACGTCTTCCATACCCGACTGGTGCAGGCTATGGAGCCGTACATCACGGTGTATCATGACAACATCAAAGCCAGCCGTCAGCAAAGCATAACCGAGTTCTTCGCCCGCAACCCACCACAGCCAGCCCAAGCCAGTGATAGTGATAGTGAAGTTGATTTTGAGGGATTTGTCAGGGAAGCCATGACAACTGTAAGTGACAGTGATATTGATTCACCTAGTAATGGTGATTCACCTAGTAATGGTGATTCACCTGAGGGGCAGTAATCTGCCCTCTGCCTCGGAACCAGCCTCCATCCCCGTATGCCGACCCATCTCTTCTACTACCGTGAGTGTTCCTCAAAAATTTTCGTTTTTTAACCTATTCTTTATTTTTCCTATGTTAACCTTTATCTTTCCTAACCTAACCTCTTCTATATTACTTGTTTTTCATGCCACCATAAAGTTAAGATAGAATTTTTACTACAACATAGTTATTTGTCGTCAAAAAGTGGAGTTTGGGGGTCGGGCTGGGTTCTATTGGAATTAATCCCATATGTTCTGTTATTCACTTAACGCGGTTTTCACTTAACGCGGGACCCTCTGGGTTCAATTGACCGCGTTAAGTGGGGTACAACTGTATATATATATACAGTATATATATATATATTGTTTGTAGGATGTACAATCTCTTGGAGGTATTTGGGAGGGACAGCAGCATGGCCTAAATTTGGCAAAAAGATCTTCAGTTGAAAACCTCCAGAAAAGCTTCACACAACCACCAAAATTTAATAATTGGATAGGGAGTGAAAGCAGTCGAGTACAGTTCCAGTCACGCTGCCTCCCTGTGTACGGACAGCATACTTTAGAACAGTATTCATTTTGCTGTATTCACACTGCCCTTAACAAGCCATCAGGTTTTTGGGTCTCAATTTTTTTTTTTTATGTACAACATGAAATAAATAGGATTCTCACTTTGCTTAAAAAACTGTAACTTTATTCAACACCTTCTTTGAATGATTGCACTTGTATGGCTGTTGATCTGGAATTGTCATTTCTTTGTACATAGCTGCTAAATATGTTCAGTAATTTCCGTTGATGATGTATAGTTGCTCTTCATGTACTGTACTATATTCTGAAAATATAGTACCTGAGATTGCAAGTTTTATAACGGACTCCAGTATAGTTTACCTCTCATGTTCACCCACAATCTCCTATACCTTCGCCATGATTTTCTCATCTTTCGAAGTTTTTGGCCAATTCTCAGTGTTGTACGTGACCATAACTACCATACTTAGTTTTAACTGTATTTTAACATTTCTAAATGATTCAAAGTCAATGCCATATCTACACGTGGCTGACAGAGCATGTGGTATCCTTATTAGAATATATACAGTACTGTACTGATCGTTGTCATAAAGGAAATCTTACCTCTGTTCAGATTAAATATATGTACAGTTTTAGGTATACATGACTATACTAATTGTATCTCACAACATTATTACACTCGGTTGGTTACTTGTCTGAGACCAATAGGGAGCGTGTATTACTGTGCAATAATTTACTATCTTTTTCGAATTACTTTACTCTCAGAATTCTTATCATATTGCTTGGTCCTCTAATGACTGTCTTAGTTATTTATTCTTTTAAAATATTAAAGTATATATGGTCAGTTGATACTTGACAGAGACATTGTCAAGTTGGAAATCTGTTAGCTTTATTAAATGATATCAGTATCCAAAATTAAAAGATATTACAGGTAGTCACAATTTTAAATATGTAGTATACAGTATGTATCATATATTCCTAAGATAACTTAAAAGATTTACATATCATTAGCATTTGGGCAGAAGCTATTTTCTACATCAGAAATGAGAAGTTTTGCAAAGATTTTTTTAAGTGTAGGCTGCTGTCACATATCATATGAACATCTAGGAGAACTTTCACCTTTTGTGTACAGTAAGCCACAGTACAGGTAGTTACAGTAGTTGGAGTGAGAAATCTGAGAGTATATTTCTTTCATAGGAATGAAATTATATAATTAACATTGTCGTGTTTATTGTTGAATGGTTTTGTCAGTACGGCACAGTTAATGGTTTTGGCCAGTGGAGTATTGCCGTCAACCATACAATTTTTGCATACTGTATTGTTAAACTTAGGGTTTTGGAAGTGTAAATTGAGTTTCTGTCCAACAACGAACATTATTGCATAATTATCTTGCTACTTGGGAGAGGGTGTACCTTATTACTGTACTGTAATTTAGGTAGCACTAAGTGAAAGGTCAAGAAGGTCATTATAATATATTTGTAAAGAAACAATATTTTTCTTAGAATTGAAACTTAAGTTTCCTTGCACATATGAACATTATATTGCATAGATACTTTCACTCAAGGGCAAAGGTGTTTCCTCTTGATTTCAATTTTACAGGATCATAGAGGTCTTCTACATTGTTCTATGGCCGTTTGAGGGTTGTTCTACATATTCTATGACTTTTTGAGTTATTTATATTTTTTGTCAAGAAGGAAGTTTTAAGAGTTTAGCAAACTTGAAAGGTATGAGTAAATTTACTTATTAAGGTCAATGCAATAATAGCAAGATAGAAGTCAGAGAAGCAGAGGAGATTAAAAGTGC